ATATGGATGTGAATTTAATCCATCACTTCTCTCTTTCTCTCTCTTTTCCCCTCTTCCCCATTGCCGATGATGTTTTCTACTATTGATATCTACTAGGTAGGTATATACATCTACATATACCTATATATACCTCTCTCTATACAAGGCATTCTCCAGGCATTTCATCAGGTAGACTCAAGCTGGACGAGGTAAGTTACCTACTGCAATCGAATATATCAGGAGTGAAACATTGAAATCTTACCACAGAGTAGATATTCTCTCCTCGACTCCCAACGATGTCACGGTCGACTATCGTTACTTGAAGTCTTTGATCAAACATCCTACTATGTAGATACCAAGTAAGTTAATGCACCCCATATTGTCACTAACGTTTCAGAATCTGACCACTTTGACCCCTCTGACCCCTCTAATCCTCTGATCCTCTGATCCCTTCGTTACCTAATGCTTTTACAAAAAACATCATCTTCTCTCCAGACTTTCACATGATGATATATTTCTTATCGTTATCACTCTCGATGCCCCGAGATTAACCGTACGTTTAGCCTGGGCAATTTCATTTAATCAATGCTCTCCAATTGATTGTTATATATGGAATTACATACATGCACAACTTCAATTCGATTCAACATCTATGGTCATAAGTATGTCCTCATACACCTCCCTAGGTAAACATCCTCTCTCACTCAACAAGTGAAGAAACATTCAAGAAGATCATGAAGCTTCTCTCGTTTCCAAAAATCCCGTGATCAACATAGCGGAAAGTATATCTCAGCCTAGGCCTCCATAAATCCGGTTATTATCGGCCCCGGATCTCACCGTTCTTCGTCCTCAAAGTCTCAAACCACCAACCGTCAAATCATCAACTTCCTCGATACGAACTTGTCAATGGTTGAGCATACCGGTCCCCAGTCATCAATACCTTGAAAGGCAAGAGCTTTGACTAAGATTAACTCAGCTTCATGCGGAGATTATGATCATTTGATGTGGAAGTATTCACCAATTGCTAATCCTTCACTCCTAAATCATTGTTTGGTCTTTAGTTAGTCTGATGGGTTGACCTAAAAGACGTATTTAGAAGGTAGATATTGCATCCCTTCCTTCAAAGAGGACCCTTTCCCCACAGGAAATGCATGCTATCATCTATCTACTTTTCTTTTGTTAAGATTTACCACATATCTACCTTCTTATCAAAGTTCAATTCCCCACAACAGAGGGAACAGAATAACTTTATTAGAGTGCCAAATCTCACAAAGAAGTTTCGATTCATCTATATTTGTAGGAAGATATCTTTCATTCAATCTACTTTCTACTTTCTACTTACCTGCCCTTCAAACATGTTTCCAGATTACAATTCCCCAGATCTTCATCTGGCTCACCCAACCCCAGAAGAAAAGCTAGCAACGTGGAATCTCAACTATGAAGAATGGGGCAAAGCACTTTCCAAATCAGACTATCTTCATCGAGAACAATATCTCGCCAGCGTTCCCTTGACCTCGGAAGATGGAATAACCTACTGGTGTCTAGTCGATAAATCCGCCCCTCCAAACAACCGGGAAATCTATGCCTCCTGCGAATCCCTCCGCAAAAAAGCTTTTATATCCAAAGAAGGAAAAGTCGAAGAAGTCATCATTCATTCAATTGGATCTGTTTTTTGTCCTCCCAAAAATCGAGGCCGTAAATATGCTTCTCGAATGATGACAGACCTGGGCAATATCCTCAAAACATGGCAACTCGACCCCAACATCCCCGGACGTCAAAAGACCCCCGCCTCCATCCTCTTCTCCGACATAGGCAAGAAATTCTACGCAAATCACGGCTGGCATCCCTTCCCCTCTTCGCACATTTCCCTCCCCCCTCTACCCAACCCCGCACATTCCACCCCCTCCCCCTCCTCCCATCCCACCACCCTCCTCAAAGAAGCAGACCTCCCCCCCCTCTGCGACCTCGACACCACCTACATCCGGCGCGTCCTCTCCCGCGCAAACGACCACAAAACCCACATCGCGCTCCTCCCCGACCACCCCACCATCCAATGGCACCACCTCCGCGAAAACGTCATGTCCGTCTCCATCTTCGGACGCGCCCCCGAAATCAAAGGCGCGCTCGCCGGCACATCCCCCGGCTCCCGCGTCTGGGCCTATTGGACCCGCGGCTACTACGGCCCCGTCGATTCCCCCTCCTCGGGAAATTGTCTGCACATCTTGCGCTTGGTACTCGAGGATGAATCGAACAGTGCGGAGAACGCGGAGAAGTTGGAAGCGGTGTTGCGCGAGGCGCAGAGGGAAGCGAGCGAGTGGAAGATGAACGAGGTGCAGTTTTGGAATCCGACAGCGTTGGTGGAGGACTTGTTGAATCGGTCCGAGTTGGGCGAGAAGGGTATCCATCGGAAGGTGGAGAGGCAGGAGGAGAGCGTGGCCAGCTTGATGTGGTATGGTGAGGGAGAGGGGACCGTGGAGGAGGTGGAGTGGTGGGGAAATGAAAAATATGGATGGTGTTAGGGTTTGTGTTGGGTTTTGGTTTTGGGTTGGGTTTGGGTTGGGTTGGGTTTGAGGAAGGAATTGTGGTAAAGAAAGATGGGATGAAAATCTATCATTGTCGTCATCGTCATCGTCGTCGTCGTCATCGTCATCGTCATCGTCATCATCTTTTTCTTAACATGGGCGGCAGCGGATCTCTTTTACATTGCATTACATTACATCACATCATATTACACTACACTACACTACACTACACTACTACACTACACTGCATTGCATATAGCAGTAAACAGTAAACAGTAAACAGTAAGCAGTAAGCAGTAAGCATAGCATAGCATAGCATACCACATATCTCATCCCATTTCACCATTTCACCATTTCACCTCACAGGAAGAATGAGATGAAGCGGTAACATTTTGACTTGATAGATAGAGAGAGAGAGAGAGAGAGAGAGAGAGAGAGATCTAGAATCATATTATATCGTATCGTGTCATATCGTATCGCATCATATCGTATCATATCATATCATTTCATATCATATCACATCATTTCATATCATTTCATATCGCATCGCATCGCATCGCATCGCATCGCATCGTGTCATATTATATTACATACATATATATCATATCATATTATATAATATCAAAATTGATATTCGTATATAAATACATATCAAGAATCTAAGTTTTGCCAGCTCGGAGAAAAGATTTAGATGGGGATCTTGGTTTGATTGGGTGGTGGATGGTTTGATTGGGTGGTGGATGGTTGAGTTTGGTTTGTATGGGTTTGGGTTTGGGTTTGTATGGATGCGTGGATGGAATCTTTACGCATAGTTAGAGTCTTAGTTACTTACTTCAAATGCCTAGGTATGTATGACTCTCTGCCCAGGTAGTTATGTAGGTAGGTAGGTATACTCACTTGCAGTTCTTCAATCCCCTTCCCTTCCCTTCCCTTTAAATTCTCAGTTTAGATTTCGAGTTTTGGAATTTGAGACAGGAATGAAGTAGAGTACTCCGACTGTGTTGAGGGATTGCGTATCCATATCCATGATCAAGCACAATCAATTGAGTCGAAGATTGTATAGGGAGGTAGGTAGGTAGACTTCTACGATTTGAGACCCGAATTTGCCGGCTCCACGGCGCATATATCTTACGGTTGATTTCCTGCTCTGCGAGTACTAGTTTTGTTGGTGTAGACGCCCTTTTGTTTTGTTCGTCTGGGTGCTAATGATGGCTCATCATTCATACTCATGTTGCTGACCCTCTTCTCGGGAGCGCGATTCTCGACTCTCAAACTTGGCTTTTCCTTCTTCAATCCAAGCTTCCATGATGAAATCTCCTACTTCCACTGCCCTGATAGCTGTACTCTTTATACCTCCTCTTGCCTTGCCAACTCTACTCTCTTTCCTAGCCTCCGGCTCATCATCTCTGGCTTTTCCCTTTCCTTTTACATCTGTCGCGCCTTCAGTTGGGATTTGCAACTCCGCCACTGCCGGTTCCCATCGCTGTGGATGTCCAATTGGCGCATTCCCCTCTCCCTCATTTTCTTTCATCTCCATAACAACTCCCCAGGTACACTCCTCTGGATTCTTCAAGTCCTCCAATTTACTCGCACTATAGGCTAGTTTTCTTAAACAAGCACGTAATTCTTCTTCGACATCAATATTGCGAATGGCATTTATATCTGCAGGAGCGCGTCCTTCGAGGAATGTAAAGCGTTCGTTGAAGGGAATAGAGGGGAAAGAAGAGAGATTAAAGATGTAGCGTTCGAGTACTTGGACTGAGGGGGACGAAGATGGATAAGGTTTTGTGGGAGGAGAGGACGAGATATTGGCGGGAGAGGACGAGGGTGCGACTGCGGGGGAATCGGAGTAGATTACTATGGAGACGGTATTGATGGTTCCAGCTTGTAGGTGAGGGGTTATGGCGCTGACGCAGGAGTTTATGTAGGCGCAAAGTTCTGGGTGGCGGTTTTGAGGGACACTGGGAAATGGTTAATTGAGGGTTTGGGGAGGGGAGAGATTGGCAATCTGACATAGAGGAAAACCTCAAGATTGATAGGAAATGGGACTGAGAAGAAGAGAACCAGTAAACTTACGGGAAATTAAATGCGCGCGTTAGGAGAAAGGTATTTTCAGGATAGAGACCGCGCGCGTGTAAGATTGTATGGATTGAAAGAGTGAGGAAGGAGAGGAGATGCGTGTGTAGTGAGTGAGGGGTACTGAGGGGTGGAGGGCGTGCCGGCATTGTGGATGGAAAGGGTGGTTATCGAGTTGTGTGTGACTTGCTTTTGGAAGAGTTGAAGAGCTTGATGATTGAGGGGCGACTACTAGGTAGGTAGAGAATGCCTAGTGGTTGATATGGAATCTTCACTGATTTGCTTGCTTGATTTGGGACTTGGACGGTAGGTATGTGGTGGTAGTTGTCGTTACTTGATCATGACATACATATCTTGTCATTTGATATCATTATTGGAAATTCACTGTCTCCCAATGCATACCGACTACCTACCTACGGTACACATCTCAACATATGATGTCGATCATTGATAAAGTTTCCTACAGTAAGAATATTTTCGAGGAAAGCTCGAGAATCTAATCGATAAGATCTACCGACCTACCGACCTACCAACCTACCTACCAACCTGCCAACCTGCCCACCACCAAACTCTAAAATCTAGACCAATGATTGGTGAATGATGAGGTCAAATCATATCAATTTACCAAACGCGAATTTCAACCACGACGATCAACTTTACCGTGATACCGACTACGAATTAATTCCAACACTTCTCTCACAAATTTATTCACTCCCACCCCATTATCTACAACCCCCCTCAAAAAGGTATCACTCAATCCTTTGAGATACCTCTCCCTTTATTTCTTCTCTTTCATTTCATTTCTACATTCGATTTCTTAATTTGAAGAATCAAATATGGCTTCACAGCACGAGACACAACTCCTTCAAATACTCGCAGATACACAATCATCTGCAGATGGACCCCGCAGACAAGCAGAAATCTTTCTTAAATCTGCTCAAAACGATCCAGCTTTTCCTTCTGCGCTTGCATCAATTGCTTCTCATTCAACCGTCCCTTCAGAACTTCGACAAGCTGCTTTATTAAATCTAAAGAACTTTACGAGTAAGAATTGGACTGGTCATGATGATAATGGCAATCCTACCATTCAGATTGAGGAGGGCGCAAAGGCAGAGATTAGAGCACGAATGTTGGGAATTGCTACAAGTGATGTAGATTCAAGGAAGATTAAGGGTGCTGCTAGGTTTGTGGAATTTCTGTTCCTGACAAGTTCTTGGTCTTGGATAGGCTGATGGAGGGGCATTTTGATGTCATGAAAAGCGCACATGCTAATCTGCAATTGAATGAACAGTATGGTAGTTAGCAAGATTGCAAATGTCGATTATCCAGATCAATGGCCAGATCTCCTCCCAACTATCCTACACATCATTCAAACCGGCACAGATTTACAACTACATGGATCATTGAAAGTATTAGCAGATGTTGTCGAGGAGAGTTTGAGTGAAGATCAATTCTTCTCCGTCGCACGAGATATTGTCAATACTGTCTATGGTGTAGCAGTCAATGAAGCACGTCTAGGAAAATTACGCGCACTATCGGTATCTGTTTTCCGAGGAACTTTCGATATTATGGAAATGGTCAAGGACGAACATGGAGCGGAAGTTAAAGCATTTGCAGAGGAGGTCCTAAAGGACTGGACACCATTCCTTGTGGCTATTATGAAGCAACCTCTACCTCCACCACCAAAAGAATCTGAAGAGGATGGACCAGTCGATCAGCAATGGCGTGGAGTTATTGCATTAAAGTTACAAGTTGTTAAGACCTTGATGAAGATCAAATCGGTTTTCCCAACATTGTTACTTCCACAAAGTCCAGTTTTATTCAGCGCTACCTGGGCGGAATTGTCAATGGCACAACCTATATTTCAAGAGATGTATGTCGATAATGATATGCCAGGTCGCATGGAGGATGCGGATAATTTGCCATACACTTTGGATTTCTTGGTATTGGAAGAGCTCGACTTTTTACAATCATGCTTGAAAGCTCCCCCGGTACAAAAAGAACTCGAAACTCAATTACAAGCAAATGCTGGTGCAGCTATGACTCCTTGGGTTGTTGACGTTATGAAGCTTGCTGTAAATTATGCACAAATTCTCAAGGAAGAGGAAGAATTATGGGATATTGATGTCAATTTATTCTTGGCAGAGGAATCATCAGTTACCACACAATACACTCTCAGAATGTCTTGTGGAGACCTCCTCATCAAACTTGGTGAGTGGTTGTCTCATGGTGCTTTGGAAGGTTTATTGGCCTATACCCAAATGATCTTCTCCTCGGACGCCGCTTCATGGAGAATGAGAGAGGCAGTTTTATTCCTTCTCACTCAACTCACAAACGATTTCTTGGATTGTGGCAAGGAGATCCGCCCTGAGGTTTCCCAAGCTTTCTTGCCTTTCATCGACTATTCCATCAACAGAGAAGAAGAGCCATTATTGCGTGCCAGAGGATATTTGGTGGCTGGTAATCTTGCACAAAGTCTACCCCAGGTTTCTCTTGGATTACTTGATCGTACAGTCAGAGGTGTCAACTTGGATGAGGCTGAAGTTGTCAAGGTTTCTTGTATAAAATCTATTCAAGGATACATTCTAGCTCACAACGTACCTGCTGATCGACAACTTCCAATTATTGCTTCCATATCCGAATTCCTTCACTCAAAGGATCTTACAGAACTTGAATCTGCAGATGATCTTCTTGTTACGTTGGTGGAATCTTTGAGATCTGCAATTCAAATGGATACAAGAGTAACACTTGCAGATGAAGGTGGAGCTTTAGATTTATTGTTTGTTCTTGCAAAACATGGTGCCTCGAACTTTCAATTGACTATGTTGGTCACTGAATCATTTGAAGAAGTTGTTGAGTCATTCACTGGTGGACCAGGCTACCCAGCTTTATGTACTAAAGTATTGCCTTCATTGATCGGTGCATTTGATGTGGGATCTATAACTGATGATGATCCTTTGGTAGAGGTAAATCTTTCTGGTGCTCTCAATAATTTGATGCTCAATACTGATATTTTCTTCTAGCTTGCCGCAGACTTACTTACTATTCTTACCGAGAATGGATCGGAACCACTTCCAGCTGGATATGTTGCTGCCGTATTACCTAAGTTGAATCGACTTTTGATGACCACAACTGAAGGTGGTATTTTACGACCAGGTGCCGAGGCAATCAAGTATATGCTTATGCATGATCATCAGCAAGTCTTTGCTTGGCATGATGAAAGCAATAAATCAGGTTTGGAAGTTTGTCTAGTCATTATTGATAGATTACTTGGTCCTGAGGTGGAAGATAATGCAGCATCAGAAGTTGGAGGTCTTGCAGCCGAACTTGTTGAGAAAGCTGGTCAAGAACGTCTTGGTCCATATTTACCACAACTCTTGAGAGCTGTTGCTACACGTCTTGCTACAGCAGAAGCTGCTCCTTTCATCCAATCTTTGATTTTGGTTTTTGCTCGCTTATCTTTGGTTGGAGCACACGATGTTGTTGAATTCTTGAACCAAATTGAAATCAACGGTCAAAGTGGTTTACAAGTCGTTTTAAGCAAATGGTTGGAGCATTCAGTTATGTTTGCAGGATATGATGAGATTAGACAAAAGTAAGTTTCTCTTTCCAATCCTACTCGTAAATTCGATCGTCCGAAGGCTTATCATAAATAGTGTCATCGCACTCTCTAAAATTTTCAGTCTCAACGATCCACGTGTTGGTCAAACCATGGTTAAGGGTGATTTAATCATTCCAACCAGTAATCGGATCATGACTCGATCCAAGGCCAAACTCAGTAAGGACGGATCATACTTCACGCCCCCACCACAACTAACGCGACAATCAGACCCCGATAAATACACAATCATTCCTGCATCGTTGAAAATCATCAAAGTCCTCATTGAAGAACTTATTTCAGCATCAGGACTTCAGAATGCAGCAACGGCGGCAGCAGCAGCAGAATTCGCGGATGAAGATGGAGATGATGACTCATGGGAAGATCTTCCCAGTGTACTTGATCTAGGTTTGTCGAGTACAAAGGCAGATCTCATGGCATTTGGAGAGGGAAGAGGGGGTTTCGGAAGAAACAGAGATGATGAGACGCAAGCTTACTTGACCGAATTCTTTGTTAAGGCTGGAAGAGAAAATGTAGGAGGGTTTAATGAGTTTTATGAGGCATTATCGGATGAGGAGAAGGTTAAGTTGCAAGAATTGGCCCAGGGAGCTTGATTGATGAATCGAGGTAATGTGTGAGATAACATTGTGATGGATAGATGGTTTTTTGGGTAACTGGAGATTCGTATGATGCTACGATGATATGTTGAGGTAAATCGATGTATAATTTGCCTGTCTGGCTGGTGCGCAGACGGGATTTTATTACATGGTATGATATGGCACCAAATGGATCCAGACACCGCAATGTATTCGTTCCAATTTGGAGGAATGAATGCGAGTGATCTGCATCACGAAATCATGACTTGAACGATGATGACGGGGAATTCTTGAGCTCAAAATAAAAGTAAATACTTATGATTGATCGATGGGCTGGGTACAAACAAATATCATATGTTGTAGATGGATAGCTTGATGGATGGTCTGATGGATGGTTTACTACATGTATGCATGGAAATAAGATGGTATAGAATAGCATAGGATATATTAGTAAGGTGGTAATGAATGCTTGATTCCAATGTTTGTTTTGTTTTTGGGGTGGATTGTTTGGTGTGTGTGTGGATGGAGATGTAAAGGTTTGAGTGACCAACCAACTGAATACCAAATCATTTGTAGTTGCTCGACACTTGCTTGGGGCGTCGTACCGAGTGTTTCTACTCCAAATCCGAAGAGTAAAAAGTCACTCATATTGTGAGAAGGAAAATATGTGGTCACTTCCATATATTTCCCCTCCCCCCGGGGATTTCTCAACAGAACGGTATTTCCTCACTTGACTTTGTTTGCATCGTCTTCAACAAACACGAGCTTTCATTTCATTCTTGATCCCAGTAAGCACATAGACTCTACAGCACGGTACGTACCCATAGCATCGATCAGGGCTCCTCGCAATGATTTCTTTGCTACTAGTCAAGCCAATCTTCGTTTGCTTTTCCATTAGACAGACTCCTGGTATCTTGATCTCAAAGGTAAACAAACACATACCTCCCTTTCTTTTGTGCCTCCTTTTCTGCTTCGTAGCGCTAACTCAAAATCCCCTTTACGCTCTTCGGTCTTGATGATTTTGGAACACCCCAGCAATGTGAATGTGGCAGTTCTCTACGAGTGAGTATATCACGAATTCTCTTTGCCAAACTGATACTCGAATTGTGTGTGCACTGTCGTTTCTGTGAATGAGGCTTGTCGAAATTGGGATTGGTATTGGGATTCTAATCTCAAGGTGACTTCTGCGGGGTTAGTCTTGATGTAATGTAATGACGCAATCGGGAGGCATGGAGGTACGTTACCGGAGTAGCTATTCATATTGAATTTGGCCATTAGTAGCTTTAGCTGATCGGTGATAGGGGATCACCATTCCGTGCTATGGATTCTCTTGTACGTGAGGATGGCGATTCGTTTCCTGGAGGAGTAGGTATGTTCCAGTGAGGGTACTTTGCGTATGGTGGCTGACTGGGATGTGGATTGGTGGTGGCTGGCTCGAGGTGTTGCTTCTGGAATTGTATATTCCGATGGTGATGTATTGTGGTTTAGAAATGGAGATGCTTACTTACTTAGTTGTTGCTTGTCAATAATCGGTAATGAAGCTACCGATGGCGAATCATTTGAACGGTTTGAGAAGAATGGGACTTGACCGGGAACAATACAAAAGTATCACTCGCATTGCATATCGTGTAGCAGAATGGACGGGAGTGAAAGCACAGAAATCGAAGGACGTGAGGTGTGGTTTGATTGGGGCGGGAAGATTCAGAGATAGTGTAAAAGTTCGTGTTGTTGATATGCCAGAGTACTTCTCATGCTAATTATCATCCATCATATACTTTTGCTAAGGCTGTTGCTGCGATACTCCTCTCCTCCATTTTCAAGGATTCAACTCCGTTAGGCTACACGCACTATCGTACAAAGCGCAATTAGACGGTAACTCTTCACTCAATACCGGAGATGTAATGACTTTGGTATCAATCATCTTTCAGTTCGATATATGATTTTTATATCGCCTGATTAACTTGTTTATATCTGCACTGACATTATTTATCCCAAGAAAACCAGAGTACTACAATCTCAGAGCGTACTTCGGTCCTCGTGAGTTGTCATTGATATTCGTAGAGATGAGAAAATGAAACCATTTGAATCTATGATAATATGCGTCAATGAAGCTAGAGTATGTATTTGTATTCTCTGATCATGACTAAATGATATTGGTATGTTTCTGGAAGCTTTCCCATTCGTTTTACACGTTTCGCTACATCGCATTGCGATATCGCTCAATTTTCGTATAAAGCTTGAAGGAGAATGTTCCTCTTAGAACGCGGATGCCGAGTACTTGATTCCAGGAGGGAATCAATGCACACCGGATAACATTCTCCTGATATTTACATTAAAAGCTATTGAAGAGTGACTTGATTCATCTCATGAATGAGTGTAGCGTGTTGAGAACACTTCCATCTGAGCCGTCCAGGCATGATTTTTCGTAAGAATCTCATGAGATCGAATTCATTCGCTTCCCACGAGCCGACAAAGCACTAAACTTTCTCTCTAGCTTGATGGAAAATGCTTCAAGAGACGAGCACCATGGCCGAAAATGACGCCTGGCACATAAGCCATAAAATCCCATATCATACCGCCTAAAATTCCATATTGAATCAGGACATTGATGATCGATTGTCCAATTCCACCTGTACCATTTGTGGTCATTGTCCACAATAGAAAGGGACATTATCAAATTATCTGCAGGTATGAAAACCTAACCCTGGCCGAAAACATCACACTTGCAATATCCTCTTCGGAGCTGAGAGAAAATTCAGAGTACAGCGACCACACTCTCAAAGACTGTGTCACTTACCTTTCCGCCCACTGCTTCATTTATTTCAAACTGACATTGTTACGGTATCCGTAAAGCTCGAAGGAATCAATGCAATGGAAAGTTTCCTGATGTATTCTCCCAACGACTATTCAGCTTTCACTCAAGGCTTGCGAATATTCTTCCGGCTTAATTCCCAGTGTAACATTTACTCCAGTTTTGTAGTCCTACATACTCGTAATCGAATACCAAGCCTTGGCCAGTGTAAACAGCGATAAACACAAGCCCAGGCAGATTCTCAACGAGACATAATATGATGAATTCTAGATCGTGGAATTAATAAGTCGTAATACCTTGGGTCACACACTTCAAGCCAGCAGCTGAAAAAAGATGAAGCTTATGCTTCATGTTCTGCACTTCATCTATAAAGTCGCTTGCCAAGTACAATACAAAGCCAAAGTCGTTTATTGACTCAACTGAACGGCTTCTTGAAGCCAAGAATCCGAAAGGCGACATTTCTCGATATTGGATACACATTTTCCCATCTAATCAACGTACCGCCAAGTAGCTTTACCACACGGTAATTCGCAGGTACCTTTGATGTGATACAGCGATGAGAAAAATCGTTGCCCGGAACCTCAATCTATCATTCTTGATCGCTTTCTCCAAGAGTTTTGGGGTCTTGGTAGCATGGAATGATTGCGTCCTTGGCGGCCGAGCACTCAATCGTTCACCCTTTCATGCGAATCGGCCCTCGCAAATTCACCAAAGCAGAATCTTCCATACTCAGGTTCATCCGTCCCTGAATTGACATTTCATGAGCGTTAAGACTTTTTCCCTATCTCCAAGGGGTGACCCTTGACTTGGCAATTGTGAACTTCGGTCGTTTCCATTAATTGCCTGTACATTTGTGATGACTTGTTCATTCATTAATCCATTTTCATAACCGACGTAGCATAATTGAAAAGGAGTAGATTTTCATGTCCATGCACATATCGCGAGACGGTGAGACTTTGATGCCACGACATATACTGCGGGAAATGGCCCCCAAAATGCCAAGATAATTCCCCAACCTCCTTCCCCTTGTTCTCTCACAATCGACAACGAATGCATCGTCATCTAATTTCCCCTATCCATCGCATATCGATACTCACCGTCCCTATCAATATCGATAGCATCAAAGTAAGACAAATTAACCTTATACTTATCCCGCATCGGTATTGAGATCCGCCCATTGGGAGAATAGCGGATATTGTCTCTCGATAATGCCACAGCTTGCGGTTAGATTCGGGCTCCACGCATTCTATCAACGCTGCCACGAAAGTTTCCCCGTGCCCAGATTCCTCCATTCTCCATCCTCCACACTTCCAACTTCTTCCAAATTAAATTCTAGTACGGAGTGGTGAGTGGAGACCCCGACCGAGGAAATACAAAATGCGGATGGGGAATCGAGATGTGGACGGAACATCAACAGGAAAATCTCTCAAGTTCCTCGGCGTGGAGCATGAGAAGAGCGGGCGCGGGCCGATTGCATTCATTGGTGCGGTGGAGCACGTTCTTCGATGGAGTTCGAAATTCGAATTCAGGAGCGGTGGATGACTAGGTATGGGGACCGGAAACGTGTGGCAATGGCAGAAACAAAGTGTCACCGTGCCATTGTAAGTTGTAACCGTTCACCGTTCACCGCTCGCACTCGCATTCGCACTCTCTGTCGCTGTCGCTGTCGCTGTCGTAGCATCGGGCAAGCGCGTATACCCGTTCAGGCACAATTCAGCATGTTGCGCATTGGTATCGTGTTTACAAAAATTCTCCGAAGATCTTCCACCCATCAGAGGCAGAGGAAGAGGAAGACATCAATCATCGCGAGTCGCGACGAACACCAACTACTCCGTACAGCAATGAAATTGGAAGAGACCCTCACAAGCTCTTTTCCCCAAACAGTCGCACGGAAGCAAACAATCACTGCCCCACCATAGCTACGCGCATTAACCTCGAGCTTCTCTACCAGCAGTCGCAAAGAAGGCAAAAACGAGCAAGCCACCTATCCAGAAAACGCACCCATCTCCGCTGTGGACCATTCCTTTCCCTCCTTCACGCTTGTAAGTTGTATTTCCGTACAATCGCTCCAATTTTCAAGGCACGCTATGGATACACCTGTGACCTTTGGCTACAATCACGATGGATTCCTCCATATCGCTAGCCCAGCAGGGAGAATCCCCTGTCTATCCAGGCCCTCCCCTGGTTATCGTAGCATCCCTCTTGTTTCCCGGGTGACATCGTAACTTTTACCTGCCAAAATTCACAACTGTTCCTGCAAATGGCCAGGTCCTCTGGTATTAAGTTATCCACACATACAGTAAGTAATTTTGTACCTGCCTTAATCACCCAGCTCCCATTCAAGCGTCCGCGAACCAGCGGGTCTCAATCTGTCTGCTAAGTTCAAGATGGGATAAACCAGGCACCAAATCCGTGAGGAAATTTCAAATTGTGGAGATTGGATTATCTTTTTTTGTATTGGAGCTTGTACGGTAGACTACAAGGTAGAAAGATTTTAAAAATGATTGTAATTAAAATAATAACAACAATAACACTAATAACAATAATAATAGAATGAAATAAATCTATGTTGATTTGGGGTTGGCTGTACGAACTATTGGCTAATGAATGGGTAGCAAAAGGCGCTTAATTGTGTGACTTTGACATACCTCGGAAGGTTATGAGTGA